GCAGCTGGCCGAGGGGGTCGCATGCGTCTACTGGCTGTGCAGTCCCCATCTAAGTCTGGCAGGTGCACAGCAGGTCACTGCCAGGCAGCAGCCCCCACTGCCAGAGTGCTGCAGTGGGTAGAGTGTGCAGGGAATTTTCAGGGGTGCTTCAGCAGTCCAGCTGGCACAAAGGGTAGTGTCCACAGGTACCAGTTGGCTGGGCCCTAGAAGCTCCTGAGAACTAGTTGCCCTAAGCTACTTGGCAGGGTGGCTTTTTATACTGCTGCAGACAGCAGAGGTGCTGGCCCCGGGCTCTAGCTCCCCCTGGCTGAAGATCCAGGAGGAGCCAGGCAGGGTTATTTTGCCCCTAGTGGCACAATTTGCTCCACAGCAAAGTGCATGTCTGAGCACGTGCTCTGGGGCAAAGAGCCCCAGCTCAAATTTGCACCATTTCTATTTGAGCTGCTGCAAGCGCATGTGCTTGCATATGTGGACGCACCCTCTAGGATGAAGAGTTTAGAGGGAATAAGGTAGATTATAATGCACCATTAAGTCAACCATCACTGATGCCTGAATAGAAGTGCTACTGCCACTGTTAGGCAGTTAGCTTTAAACTCTGGATGGACCAGAAATTAAAGGGAGGTGCAAGTGCACCTCTGGATCTGCCCCTGTTTACAACCTAAATCTCTCTTTTTTTTTTTTTTGTCATTCAGGGGCAAACCCAGGGCATGCTGAACAATACAAAATGAAGGATAGACAGATGTCCCGCTGAAAACAGGGCAGTTTATTAGAAACCTTGTTGGGAACAGCTCCCCCCCCGCAGCCACAGAAAGCCATATTTGTGAAATAGTAGAGAAAAAAATCAGAGGGGAAACAGTGACAAATTAAAATTGTTAATCTTTCACAAAAAATCTCCTTTCTCAGATATACAAATTTCACCTCTACTGTTCTGTACTGCTTTTTGGAAATTGACAGAATAGTTGCAACGTGGCATGCATGCATATAGAGAATACAGTACTCTAGAGATTTGCTGTACAGTTGCTCTAGAGATTTGCCTTATGGATCTGAAATGGAAAGCTGCTTTTCTTTGGTCCTGTTCAAAGTCTGCTCCTTGATGACCTTTGTAATTTGAGTAAGCATCCTTCAAGTATTCTACCTATGTTTCCATGGAAGATCTACAAACAGAGAGCTTGCAAGAGCAGACTTGTAATGCTCTTTGGTTATTGCTCAGATATCCTAAAAACAATAATGTCAAACAGTAGTGATATGCTATTGTGAAAGTACTGAATCATTGATAAAAATGAAGGTTAATATTTTTACTTTTAAGAATATAACTGGTATGTTTGAAACTTATTAAATGATAAAAATATAATTCTTGTGCTTTCAGACATCTAAATAAATAACACTAGTTGTTTTAAATTCTGTGTTATGTGACTAGCAATTAATTCAAATTCCCATTCCTGTTTGTATCTAGAAAAAAATAATAGCCGCTGTTTTCCAAAGAAGGCAGAAAATAGTAGGTATAACAGATATATTTTATTTAACATATATTTGTGTTATAAAACATTATACTGTATAGCACTGATAATATAAAATAAGTGACTTTTATTCACAGGGATCAGAAGTGATGATGATTCTGCAGGTTGTGTTGCCCTCTTCAGAATAAGGACTGTTCTAGTGTGATGTTGGACACAACTGATGAAGGTGCTTTATTCTCAGATGAGACTTAAATTTCTAACTACTTATGGACTTTAAAAATCCAATTATATGTTTTTGATTAGATGAGGATGGTTATTCTTAATGTTCCAAAAGTAACAGTTACTTTCTGGCTATCTGAATTCCATCTGTAGTTTCAATTTGAGAAGATATTTTTCCCTCATTGTACTGAACAGTTGTACAGTGCTAGACAGTTGCTAGATGTTGCTCCAGAGGCAGTTGCATTTTATAGCTTTATAACAGAAAAGAGGTTGAGCCACAAATACGTTAAAGAAGCCCATTGCTTCTCTAAATAGAACTGGTAACACTGGTCCAGAATTGCAGCAGACCACTTCCGTTCCTACCCCATTACTGATAATGGGTGGAACAAAGGTTCACCTCAGTAATGCAAACACCTGAGCCAACTGGAATGAGCACTCCATCTCTCCTCCTTGCCACCTGCTCATCTTTTACAAGAGTCTTATGTTGCCTTTGCTTCATTACCCAGAATTTGGCCCTACGTTTTAAGATTTTGATCTAAATTTGGTAGGCTAATAGACTACTCAATAAAGTTTGTTCCTTATACTATAACACTGCAAATTAGAAGCTAGGTGAAATGTCTGTATTTGCCTAAAATGTCAACATTCAAAGTTTGGAGGCTGCTGCTGCTGCCTAAAATTCTTTCACTTTGGATAATTCAAATGGGTTATTTATAGCTACTTGCAAAGTTGTAAAATTTTAAGATTTTAAGAGGTGCCAAGACAACTGCAGAGTACAGGAAACAGAGATTTTTATGTAATGCTTCTCAGACATCCATATAATCTTAAGTGTTTCACTTCTGCAAGCATAAATGTAAAAACATTGCTTTTTATGTGAATGGGGAAAGAGGCAGGAGCTGATTTGTATCCCTTCAAAATTACAAAACCAGAAATTCTGGTTTCAGGACTAGATCCAAAGAATACTACAATCCATGGAAAGATTTCCATTGATTTTGCTGGATTTTGGATCAGGCTCTTCAGCAGAGTAGCATACTTTATTTCAAAGACCAAAGTAGGCATGTTATGTTACACAAATTGGCAGAAGAATCCAGTTAAATAAAGCATATTAAATAGAAAAAGATTCTCAGTATGAGAACATGAAATAACCAAACCTCATTTAATTTATTCCTATTATCTCTTGCTTTAAATGATTTATAAGTCAATAATCTCTTAAGGAATAATCAACAATTCTGAACCCCCCCCAAGAAAAGCAATTAAGCAGAATTACATTTTACACACAAACTCCTGTGGAAGCTAACATTAATAGAAGTAATAACTACCTGGAAAGTAAGCATAGTTTATATACTTCCTTCAACATGTGGGTACCATCATTTTCCAGTAGTGTAACTAGGGCCAGGCAAGGCACCTGCCCTGGGCTCCAACTATGAGGGGGTGCCAAAATCCTCTCTCACCAAAAGTTTTTGTGGTGGCAAGGAAGCTCTTCACCACCCCTGCCTGGTTACAGGAGCTGGGCAGGGGCAGGGCCACACCAATTTGAGGGGCTGGGGTGGGGGAGGGCAAGTGGAGTGAGTGGAATAGAGATCCCCTCCTGCTCCTTTCCCCTCCCCAGGAGCATTTGCAGCAGCAGGGGAAACCCTGTGCTGCTTCTGTCTGGCCATTGGAGCTGGGCAGGGCAGCACTGCACCATATGGCATATTGGGCAGAGGGAGCAAGGGATGAGTGGGGTAAGAAGAATGATGCCCCCTCCCTCTCCAGTGCTTAGTAAGTGCCTTACACCTCTGGCCTTTCTATATAAGATCACTGCTTGCTGAGTCCTTGGTTTATTTTTATACTCATTCAAAATCTCACGCTTTAGATTTCATCATGGATTAGGTTTGCTGTGCTTTTGAGATAGACAGAAATTAGATTTTGCAGTGGTCCCACAGGTTATTGATAAAGAGTGTTTTCATAGCACACAGAGGCCCTGTAGTAACACATCAGGACTTTTTTGTGCTTTGGTTTCATAGCCCCTTGTTCCAGAAATCAAACATCTGCTTTACATCATTGGTCATTTGTCTTATCTCATACAGCTTGTCACTTTAATGCCAGTTGAAAACAAGCACATCCTCAATTTTTCCGTGGCAAGATTGCTCAGACAAGATCATCTTGGTGATAAACCATTTTAATACTCTCATGGCCAATGATAGTCTATATTGGCAGTTTCACCTCCTTTGGTTCACTCTTCACATCATTATTCCACGGTCTTCAGCAGTCATGAATATCATAATGCTAATGATGTGATGCTTATTTGACTCCTCGTGTCTAATTTTGCTGCCCTGGTTGCATTCAGGACTTCTATCATAGGTAGCTGGTTGCTGCCTGGGTTTTCTTGCACTCAAGATGGCAGTTGTTTGGGAGCTAGGTTCTGCTGTATGATAACAGGTCAACCTCATTCAAGTCTGATTCCTCTTTAGAGTTCAATGCAAAAGGCATTGGGGTTTCAATATAAATCACTGTGGACAGATGTCCATATCAGACCATAACTAACATTATGCTTGGTAATTTCAGTTGAATAGACATGGAGGATTATTTCCAATGATATTTCTTGGAAAGGGCTCAGGCATATTGGCAGGGTTCTGTAGG